ACCTGCCATTGGAAAGACTAGAGCTTCAACAGCGAATGCAAGCTGTGACAAGCTTGACAAATAAGAGCATGTGGACAGAAGCAGTCGGGAATAGTCAGGGAAAGGTACTTGGCTTTTTGGCTGCCTAGTAAGAGGGACTGTTTTCTTGGGCTAGAGGCAACTTAGAAATCCAACCCTCCAGATCAGGTCTGCCTGAGCAACTGGAAAAGAGACCTTGTTGGCATTGCTTGTGCTTCAGTTCATCTATATGAACTAGTGAGACAGCAAAGGAAATAAGATTTTCATGATCGTGAGCTGATGCCTTGCAGATCATCTTGAAGAGCAAACTGGAGAAGAGCACCAGGTGTTCTGCACTTGAAATAAATAGCCCATTTTTACTGTTTCAGCATTGAAGCCAAAAGTACTAACTATGAGGAGGCAACATTAGCAAGGAGAGTTCGTATAAAAACTTGAGGCAGACATGAGCAAAGAAGGCAGATGAGCAGCAGAATACTCTTCAGCTGGGTTCCTATCTCTGGCCAATACTGTGCCTTCAGATTCCTTGTGTATTTCTTTCATCTTCTATTCATTGGCTGCTGAAGCCTGGGGAGATACATGGCCTGTAGCATCTCAGGGTACTTACAAGTCTAACTAACCCTTTCTTGTAGGTGTCTTGAGTCTTCTGCTGCCTTTAAGGGCTACGTGCCAGGCTGCTTTCTGGTAGGAACACTACCGGCCTACACAACAAGTTGTACATCCCAAAATGTTCTCCCCGAGACGTGAGGCTGTTCCTGCACACTGTCTAAATCCGGCTCAGGCTACGTGAGAAAAACGTTGCCTTTTGGAGCAAGTTAGCAGTCAACACTGCTGGGATTGGCATAGCAGTAAAACAAGTGCTTACTCTCTTGAACTTATTATGGTTTTAGCATTATAGAAGAGGGAGAGAGGAACATAGCAACAGATAAGCTGCCTTTGATCTTTCTGCTGAAGGTGGTTTGCGCTCAATCCCTTAGCTTATTTCTCGTCCTCAGTTTGACATTATTTTTTCATTATAGATGATAGTTCTAGGAGCATGCTCTGAAAGATAACAAGAGAGAGAAGCGTGAAGCTGAGCTGGCTTGAAGGAGAAAAAGAATGGTTAGAATAGCAATTAATGCAGGTCCAACGTGCACATAGTTGGATGGGATCTGATGTTGATACAAATGGCTCATAACATACTTGCCTTGCATGTACTGAACAAAGCCATCTGCCTTCAATATTAGGAGTAGAGGTAAGGGAAAGCAACCTTGCTTTGACACCAAAATCCCTGGGGTAACCTCTAGCCCTTACTTTGACACCAAAATCCCTGGAGTAACCTCTAGCCCTTGCTTTATGCGTTAAGGGGTTTTATATGTTTTTTGATGTCTCTAAAGCCATTACAAAGATGGGGTCAGTTGGGAGAGCCTGTGCTCCCTAAAATCCGGATGTCTGCTTGGTGCCACACAAATCCTCAGAGGGGTTCATCGTTCATCGACGCCTCTTTACCTCCAAATTTTCTAATTCCCGTGTTTGTGCGCTTGGTGAATAGTTACCCCTCGAGTGAGGAAGCAGACTTTGCAGGAAGTTGGTACCCTGGCTGTCTCCACCACGAGAATCTGCTGAGTGCCCCAGGGCAGAAAGCAATGTGCAGAACTGAAACTACTTCGGAATATTTCTTTAAAAAGAAGTTTGCGTAGAAAAGCTGTACAAAAAATGACAGCATGTACCAACAGATTAAACAGGCATAAAGATCTCACATTTACGGCTTCTCAAACATCCTCGTGGAACACAGGGTTTTGCCAGTCCCTCATCCCACCTGTAGCTTTTCTGGTAGAGCTTAGGTGTGAAAATAACACTCTTCTGCAGTTACCAGATTCATTATCTCAATGTACATTCATTCTCATCAAACCATTCTCGGCCCCAAGACTGGGAGCAGTTGCACAACTAGTAAAATAAAGCATGTTTATTCTTCAAATGGAGCTGAAAAGATGAGTAAAGATGTCTTGTTCTGGAGAAGACTGCAAGTATTCAAGCTGAAGAGCAGCTCCCCCTTTCATCTCCTTCTCACTACTGAATGTTTTCCCTCTGGGTTAAAGCCCAGAGCTGAAAGTGAGAAGCAGAAAAAGAATTAAGTAGCACAGGGAAATAAAAAGGCAATCTAGTGAAGGAAAGTGAAACCCAGCAAATAGTCAAATTTCCCCAAAATCAACAGATCCAGGATTTCAGCTGCAGAGATTATCTTCTCGGTAAATGAATATAACCAACAGCTTTTTCTGAGTCTGGTTCCATGAGCTGAGAATATTGCTTCATTATCAGGTTTTCAGACCCTACTCATTCACCAGGAGGAGGAGAGCTTGCTCTTAAATGTACATTGATTTCTCTGCAGCCAAATGAGGAGACTTGAAGAAATAGCACTTTGGAAGTAAAAGGAAAAGGTGAGCTAAAGAGGAAATGAAAATGCAGATAACTCAACATCCCTTCAGAAAACAGAATCTGATTTTGGGTCCCAAAAAGGCCTAATACTTCTTGAAAAGTTTAACCCAATAATGTTGAGTCCCAAGAAATAGGTTCAAATATAATATTGTTAGGAATGTTATGGAACTTCTAGTAACTTCCAATTTTGTTTTGTGATTCCAAGAACTTAGTTCAGTGCTATACAAAAGTAAATACATAAATAAATAAATAACAAGACCACTGTACTTGTCAAGCCTTTCCATCTTGGTATATCCTTGAATGCTCTTTCCAAGACAGTTGTTACTTCTATTACAGGAGCTTCTTTGGTGTACAGTTAGGCTAGTGATGCCAATGTAGTGAACGAGGTCCAGGTCTTCTGCAAGTCACTGGCCTTTGTGAGAAGACATGGCAGTCTAATTAGTCTTGATGTAAAATGTAAGTCATTCCTACCCCGTTATCCGAATTGAAACTTACAGATTTCTGAGCACACCTTAGGATTCTTTAGAAAACTACTATTTACAGATCAAAAATAGCTAATGCTCAGGTTGCCTGCACCTGAGGTCTTCCACTTGAGAAGGCTGGCAAAGGACACAGATAGCAGAAGAAGACAAATGCACACGGTAATGAAGCATCACTCAACCTTCCACCTTTGTGGAAATGTTTGTGTTCAGCTGTTGGAGAGTTAAATTGCCCTGATGCTTTGCAGATGCGACATCAAGAGACAACTCTTCTGAGTCAGGTTGTGACCATGCTCCGCAGAGCTTTCGGACATTGTGCAATTGCTCCTTTGATCAGCAAAAATACCTGAGGAGAAAGAGCAGCTGGCTCTCTCAAGGGCTGACTTTGAAGCAAAGCTCTCTCTCTCTCTAATTGTCCAGCTGGAGTGTCCAGACCTCCTTTTTTGGGCTCTCCGGAGTAAAAATGAGAATTATGCCATGGACATAATGCACATGGACATAATGCCATGGACATAATGCACACTGCAAGGCAAGCAATAACCCGGAGTGCAGAGCTCTGAGAATTACGTGCTTAAATATTCTGTGACTTCTAGCCTTGCCTCCCTTCACCAAAACAAGCATTATATCTATACTAGCTATATACTGACCTATAGCTGCATCAGCCTATTAATTTGATCAGACTTAAAAATATTTCACCCACCAGTGGAGGGCCTAGGAACATTATGGAGGTTTTCTGCTCATAACGTTGTTCATGGGCAGAATCCTACAGACCTCAGCATAACCTCTACAGGCCTTTGTGAATGTAACTCCCAGCTCACCCCTGTGCCTGTGGTCGCAATAACTCAGTGCAGGTCCCTTCGCTGGGCAGGGGGTTCTGCCTTCCTGAGCAAGACCCCCTTGCTGAGGGAGCCAGGCAGGCTGGGGCAATACAGAAGGAGCCCTTTGCTCCACCGCGGCATCTCTCCTTCATTGAAAGAAATTAAAATGTGGCTAGAAATGCAAAACGAAGGGCTGTCTAGGAACCCATGGTATATCTTAACATATATATCCTAGAGGATATATAGTGTCTTGTAAGACAGCCTTTGGCCTAATAAAAGTTATTCAAGCTTTCTGTCTCTCCCATTTTTGCTTGCTATTCTGAAAAAATGGATAATCCTGGACAACAGAGTGAGCAGGGATCCTAGCAGAGCATACAGACTGATTGCTTCAGGTGTAAAGCTCATGAGTTGTAGCATTTTTTTCCAAGGTTTTGTGCCTTAGTTGGACATAAACCAAAGAAATGGCTCTGTATTTCAACTGATTTCCAGGCAAGGAAGTTTTATAAAGCCTGGCTGGTACGGAATGTGGCCAAAGCAGCTGCTGCTCTGTCAACTTCTACCAGCGGGAAGGACATTTCTTCTTTATATCTATAGCTGGTTTGATCTGAACTGCAGCCCCAAAAGCTGATGAATTCTCATGCCAAACGTGCATTTTGTCTTCTCCTTCCTGTGGAACCACTTGCTGAGGGCTCACAGCATTAAATGTATACTTTGTTAAAGCTGGACACTGACATTTCTTCCAAAGAGCTGCCTATGCCCTTTGAGGGCTCCAGCTTTGTACGTTGCTTGATCAGGATCTGGCCAACTACTTTCCACAACCTAATCTTCAGGTTTTGAGGCAGGGGAATGAAATACATTTGGGGGGAGGGGGGACTTTTACAGCATTTTGTTGTCCCTCCCACATCATAATTATTTACCTGTTAGAGACTGAGGTTTGGCATGGAAAGGGCGTTGACAGCGATGCTCAAAAATCTCTTGTCAGTGGATAAAGGCTAAGCATCCATAACAGCATTATTGCACCTGTTAGCTACTTTCAGTGTTATTACTCACAGGATGTGGTTGACTTGTAAGCAGATTCTTATGCTCTGAGCTGTGTTTATTGATTTTTGTGTAACTTCGAGCTTTTCTTTCAGCTAAGGTTATGCTGGTTGCAGGCGACTGCAATCATTCTGCTACCTTTGCCCAGCCTTGGCCTGTGTGTGATGAGAAGCTGCTGGGATGGTTGTTGCAGTACAGAAAGGGGCATTTTCCATACTGAAATAATACCCCTCTCTCACTCAGCTGTGACCGAGTTCTGCTACGAGCAGGGGCATAAATAAAAACAGAAAAAAAAACGACAATTTGGGCTTCAACCCCTTTCCATAAAGTGGTGACTATATTGCCTTTAAGTGAAAAAAAAACCAGTTTATACTGATTATTTACATGTTGTATAAGCTGTAACTCCATGAAAACTGGAGATCAGAGATTGCTGATGAGCAGCAAACAAGAGCAATTTCTGCCTCTAACCACAAGAGTTTCACGGTGTTTGTTGTTGTTTCAAGAAGAGTGAGAGAAGTTTGAAGAGACTTAGATAACTGAGTGTTATGTGAAATGATCATCTCCCTATTACATATCCTGTAAAAAAAAATTACTTAAGGATCAGGAATTGCTCCTGGAAGCAATTGGTTTTTGTCCTCAGAGGACAACTCTGACGATTCTCATAATTTGGACTCATCAGGACTCAAAATACTTTCAAAAATTCTAGTGGTTGGCACTGGAATGCAAGTACTAGTTGCACTGAAGATAAGGAAGTTTAGAGTGTGTGGAGACAGAACAGGAAGAGCTGCTGAAAATGAAAATCTGTAGTTCCTGGTTCTGTCATTGCAATTATTTACTGTTTTATACTCAGATCTTTTGGTTTATTCGCTGGGCAGTTGTTCAGCCCAGCAGCTGCCCCAGAGAAACCCCCTGAGAGTCAGGGAAGTTAAGCCAGGAGTTTGAATCCGCTCAGGGCTTCCTTGCAGTATCCAGAAGGCTGGAGCTGAACGGCTCCACTGGACTAGCTGGCAACCTGGGCAGCAGGGAGAGGTTAAATAAGCTGGGGGGAAATGAACTTGGGCTGGTGGGCGATGGGTGACTGCCCAGTGGGTGGATGGATGGATATATGGATAGGTGGATGGATGGATGGATGGATGGATGGATGGATGAATGGATATATGGATAGGTGGATGGATAGATGGATGGATGGTTGGATGGATGGATGGATGGATGGATATATGGATAGGTGGATGGATGGATGGATGGATGGATGGATGGATGGATGGATGGATGGATGGATGGATGTTGGACAGATGGATGGATGGATGCATAAATGGATGGATGGGTGATGGATGGATGGATGTTGGACAGATGGATGGATGGATGGATGGATATATGGATAGGTGGATGGATAGATGGATGGATGGATGGATAGATGGAGGATGGATGGATGGATAGATGGAGGATGGATGGATATATGGATGGATGGATAGATAGATGGATGGATGGATGGATGGATGGTTCTCCCGCCATGGGCGAGGGGAGCGGCGCGCGGGGCCCGGCTCGCTGTCACGCAGGGAGCCCCGTTCCCGCGGGCGAGGCGGGCCCGTGGCGCCGCGGGCGCTACTTGCCATGGACACGCGGCGGGCGGCGGCGGCGGGCGGCGGGAGGCCGCCGGGCGGGCTGCCCGCCTCGCTGCGCTTCCCCTCCGAGC